CAGCTGTTGGGTCAAAGCCAGTCATTAATTTACGAGAACACTAAACATTTTGAACAATACTCACCTTTAGGAATGCTGCCGCTGTACATGCACCGGCACCTCTACAAAAAAATACAGAACAATGGCCAATTGTCAGTATCCAGAAAACGACATCAATACATTAACGTAGTAAAATCCAATTCAAAAGCATATATTTCTGTAGAGTATTGCAATAATTATTATCATTTTAATCGAATAAAAATCTGTCTTGTTTTCCCACCTTGTTTTTCCTACATTTTTCAAATCTGCAACATCTGACTTTATTTGTGTTTTGTAGTGTTCAAAGAGTGGCATGCGCCACATACGTTCGCCTGTTCGGAAACCAGCCTAAGTGTAAAAAATATATAAACATTTAATGTACTGTGGACGTACCATWATTAAGAGTATTTTTATGGATTTATTCACGGCATTCCAAATRTACAACAAGGCATTCGAACTTAAAATACGATTAAAACAAATTAAGCAATAGTATATTGTATATATTTAGCTTGATTCTCTATTTGACTATGTACCTTGCCGCCATCCACATGAGTMCAGAGACTTTTTTAAGTGCCAGGAGCGAATATTTTAAAGTTAAAGACAATAGAGCATGCGTATAACAAAGAAAGCTGATGTCATCATCYACAAAAATATCACTGGGATAGGAACACGTATCGTAGGATTTAACACGTATCCTGATACACGGAAATTAGCAGAAATCTCCGAAGGCACTGCGGAGACACCAAGAGTGGACACGTGTTGATGCTAGCTGTATCCGTACATACAAACATTTACGGATACAAAATCTCTGGATTCGTGTGGATGCTTGCTGTATCCGCAAATGTTTCTATATGTCTCTGGACTTGTGTGGATGGGTTTTGCGAAAAGAAAATACCAACGTAAGCAATATTATACCTGAACAATTTGATGCCAAAGGAAACGAGAATTAGAAAAGACACCAGCTGCACCCTGACCAATCGCAACATCAATTGCACCTGTTACAGCGAAAGATACCATTTTTGTACATGCATACGTTCAAATTGAGCGGCCACTACTTTATTCAATAGCAAACACTCTTGCGCAAAGACCTCGCCACAAACAAAGAAATCTCGAAAAATATTGTCAAACAGTAGACCTACAAATCTGAATATTTTCCGAATTGAGGCCAAGACTATTATTTCGAGAGGGTTTACACTTTAGGTCTTTTGGCAATAAAGGCTAAACCTTCAAATCGGACAAATTACAGTTTCGGCTTATTTGTTTGTTGTGTTGTGTTTTTACGCAAATATGTAGCAAAGCGTTGGAAAAAGCACTGTTTTAATAATTTATTATCATCATTATTATTTATTATTATTAGTAAGTCCTTTGCGCAAGAAAATAGTCTGTCATATAAAACTGACCGGCCAAACGCATGGAACAGCATGTTATAGCGTACGAATGAAGAGTAGAATGGACAAATGGTGATCTGACCTGTAAGGGTTGCAACATCTATTACAACTGATGGAGATAAAGAATCAGCATAGCACAGAGCATCTGCCAGTATAAGCCTCCCTTCAGCATCCGTATTATCAACCTATAGTCATGCAAAAAAAAGTGAGTAAGTTTGAGCTCTTTTTATGAAAGATATTGTAGATAATCGTTAGGATATGTTTGAAAGTTACTATACAGCAGCTGTATTTACTAAGGAAGACCATGCACTGAGAAATTGTCCACTGATAGTCTAGTAGTAGAGAAACCAATCAGAGAGCGCGCTTGCCCATATCCAGTGATTGTGTATAATATAATAATGATAAGTAATAATAATAATAT